AGGCCACGACAGCCCACAGAAAGCTCTGTAGTTCCAGGCGCAAAGCCCATCACTGCTTGAACACTGAATCAAGTTTGGAACGGGGCGTGCTTGAAAATCATTCTAACCAATAGTTTTCTCCAACCGAAAAATCTACCGTTTCGGAATATTGTAGACTATAGGGGCACAACATTTCTGAGTGTGGCTCACAATCGCCGACGGTTTTCAACCAGTGTGAGTGAGCGTCTGTGTGGGTGTACCCCTCACTCCTGAAGATGGCAAAATTCGCCTTTCTTGTTTCAGTGGCATTTCTGGCTGTGTTTCCATTAGCTTCTAATGCAAATACTTCCAGTTCGACAGCTATTGTTGCTGATCTCGGTGAGGCGGATGTCACGGCGCGGGAGCATTCGCACCAGAACGGACGCGGGAATCCTCGCACGCCAGTTATTCGCAAGGAATACGGGATGATTTTTTTACTTGGAGCAATACTAAGCGGAGTTCTTGGCATTATTGGTGCCAGCAGAAGGTCTGCCGCTTTGCAAGTACGACTGCGTGCACAACTTTGCACAACAGATCCACTAGTTTCACGTTGCTGTGCTTACCTGAAGCAAAAGCTCACAATAACTCCCATTAATTCTGGCTGAGCTGGGTTTGGAAGGTCGTGAAACTGCTGGATAAGGGAATAATGCAGGTATACTGTTACGAGGGATTCGAAAGCTTCTGATGAAATGATGTAGAAGTGGAATGATATTAGCTGAGCCTTTGAATATATTTTTGTTTCAAAATTAATTTAGCACTTTGTGTCTTTGTAATAAGTTTAAACATCTCAAAGCGGATAGACTTTCTCTGCCCACTGCCCATAATATGCTATATACCTGCGCAGTATGTCCCCTCGTAAAATCTTTGCTTGACGTGACTTAGCCGACAAGATATTGGGGAAGCGATCAATGTTCACATCAATGTTCACAAAGTCGGTTCCTTGCTATCCCGGATTGGGTGGATTGCTTGTGGGAGCTCTCCAGAAGTTCCGTGCAGAAACCAGTAGATGACTTTGGCGCATCGGCTTGCTGTGACGCACCAGGCAATATTTGTTTCATTAGTGCACGCGGGCATCATTCATAAACCAATTTCTGAGGAGTTGCGTTGATTCGATGCGTGTGCGTTATCTCACAGAGGACCGTTATTGACGTACTATTGGGACCTTAGACTTCGTACAGACTCGAACCGACTAACAAAAGTGGACCTCGGCTTGACACAAGTAGAGAGCATCGCCACCAGAAGCAGGACTTCCCGGCCGGAAATTGTGAATATTTTGCCATTTGCGCACTTAGGAAACCGGCATGTGGGTTCCTTCACTTGCAATCGTTTTGATATTCGTGTATTGCTAACCACCGCCTTCCACCCCCATTTGCAGTGGCCGTGATTTTCAAGCGCATTTGCACCCCATTATAAAGGCATGCAAACGTGGATTGAGCAAGCGCATCAAACTGATTTAAAGCAAGCAACAAAAGGAAATGACCCCTGATACAGGGCGATTTTGGAATTCAAGACAAGCCAAATATGGACACTGGTTGCGAGGGTGGACTTCGACTAGCAGTCTAGCAGCTTGTTTGAGAGTTTAGTGTGCTGGAGGTGATGCTTAATTGGATGTCGTGAGTTGGTTGAAGGGGAGCACGGGTGACGTCAGTTGGAGTACGGTACTCATCGACAGAGAATCTGCATTACTGAATTAAGGGCTTGCGTGCTGTATGCAAATGCACCAGTGTGTCATTGGGCTTAGAGCGATGCACATGGCAGGTGAAGGTCGTCGTGTGTTGCATATATGTGTACACCTATATTGCTGAGCACGAGTCTTTTGAATCCTCTATTGCTTCTGCTTAGGTTCGTGGAGAGCTTGGATGGCTAGAGGCCTTGGTGGTTCAGTGGTATTCAGTGGTGTGAGGTGTGCTGAGTTGCTCAGCTAGCGTACTTGCCATGCTGCGCGTTTTTACCCTGTAATACAATAGTACATCTTGCGGCATAAAGTGCGACCATTCAGGTTGCAAAGTTGCTTGGTACGGTAGAACGCGACTTGTGCATATGGAATCCTAGCGATATCGCCGTATTAATCCACAGTAGGATCCAGCAGAAATAAGCAAACTGCGCCCATTATAAAGGCATGCAAACGTGGATTGAGCAAGCGCATCAAACTGATTTAAAGCAAGCAACAAATCCTGAAGCATGACGGTTCGTGGGAACCCCCTCATGCTTGATTGTGTCCCCAGGTGTTTATTATCTCACACGCGTTACGATGCTCTTTAGCATATTGTCCACGTGAGGTCGGGAACTTTGCCAGATACACCTGCATCTAGCAGATTGGCTTCTGCACAATCAACGTGTCAGGTATACCCCTTGTGAAGCCAACAGATCAGTGCAATATGCCGTGGATATCGGAGTCCTGATGCTAAAGCTAATAAGCTTTATGGGAGCCTCAAGGTGCTGCCTTGAGTCGGAAGTGTACTGGCGGATTTACAAACACAGGCGAAACGCCGAATGTTGTTAATCATTGGAGAGATGTGTAGGCGTTCACCCGTAGCAGCTATTACTGTGTTTTTTCTGTAGTGAGGTGTATGCGGGGATGAACGGTGGATGCGTGGACGTTTTGAGTGTTTCCCACCCGATGCTGGAAATGTCTTTTCCTTTGG